AGAATCGAACCTAGTACCTTTTGGCTAGGCAAGCACCAAGCCAAAACCCCAGCCCCAGAATCCATGTTTTAAGAAGAGAACATGTTGGGGCTGGGGTTGTGGTAATAGAGAGCTTGCCTAGTATGTATGAGGCACTGGGTTTGATTCTCAGCACCACACAAAAATAAGTGAATAAGGGAGGGAAGGGGAGAAGGGGGTTAAAAAAAAAAATGGTGGAATGAGATGGACATCACTACCCTAAGTACATGTATGAAGAAGACATGAATGGTGTGAATATACTTTGTATCCAAGCAGAGAAAAATTATGTTCTATATATGTAATATGAATTGTAATGCATTCTTCTGTCATATATAACAAATTAGAATAAAAACTTTTTAAAAATACATAAACAAATAAAATAAAAACATCCATCAACATTAAAAAATATTTTTAAAAAAGAGAACATGTTATCAAAATATATAAAAACACTGTAAAACTGGTACATATTAACCTGAGAACCTAAAAAAAAGAAAAATTTCACTGGAAAACATTCTCTAAATTTAACTTGTGCTGGTACACCTGTAAAGCCAGCAACTTGAGAGGCTGAGACAGGAGGATCACAAGTTCAAGCCAGCCTCCGCAACTTAGATGAGGGGAAGAAAAAGAAAAAGAGATCCTGTCTCAAAAAAAAATTTTTTTTTAATCTAGGAATATAGTTCATTAATAAAGTGTCCCTGGGTTCAATTCCCCAAATAACATCCCCACAAAAAAAAGATCTAAACTTTAATACTAAATACTCAGTATAACAACCTAAGCAAGATATACACACCTTAAACAGAAATTAGTGATATGGTTTCATGTGATGAAGACACACTTTTTTCTTGTTACCCATTTAGAAAGAAATTTAGTAATAAAAGTTTGCTTTCACTTAGGCTATAAAAAAAACTACCCTGATTATACAGTTTATTTATTCTCTAGTCCAGAAGGAAAAGTCTAAATAGGTTCCTTCCTGCCTTGAGGTATTGAGAACAGACTATCTTCAGTAAGAAGGCTTTACATAGGGTAAATCAGTATGAGAGAGAAGGCAGGCAGGCAAAAGACTTGATTAAGAGAGTTTTAGGGGACTGGGGCTGTAGCTCATTGGTAGAGCACCCACCTCTCGCATGTGAGGCACTGGGTTCAAACCTCGACATCACATAAAAATAAATATATTGTATCCAACTACAACTTAAAAAATACTAAAAAAATAAAAAAAGATTTTTAGGAAAACATCCCTAATATCGCTTATTTTCCCTGAGAGGGAAATATGTGCCAAATATATCAGTGCAATTCTTGAGTAAAAGAAAGAATTTGTAGAATGAATGGGGAGAGGGTTTGATTAAAACTGCCTTCCCTCAGGGGCGGGGACATAGTTCATCCCCAACACTTAAAAAAAAAAAAAAAAAAAAAACCAGAAAGAAAGAGAGCAAAAAAGAAAGAACAAAAAGCATCAATGATTTGCACATCCTGCACATCTGGATCTCCAGGTCCTTTAATTTCAAAAAAGATATTGTAAATCCAGGACTTTGTAATTTTAAATGTCAAAACTGGGCAGAGTTAAAATGAAATCTATTCCAAGCTATACTCAGATATATAAGCAAAGAGCACAAATATCAAATTATTTAATTCAAGTCTTAAGCATAATAGACTTCATCCTATATAAAACATAAGAGCAGCAAATGTCTATCTTGGTTTCATGGGGATTCCTAAGAGGAGGCAGATGAGAATACATTATTTCCCCAGGGATGGAGACACAGGAAAGGCTTCCCAATAGGGATTCCATAATGGGAATGACTATTTCCTCTTTTCCAAGATTTCACAAAGAATACTTTTAAGATGTTGTAGCTGGACCACAACAAACAATTAAAAAACAGACCCACCCATTGAGTTAGTGCTAGTGGAATCTATCCTTCTCCAAGTGCCAGATGGAGATTTAAAAAAAAAAGCTCTCAACTAATTGTAGCCAAGATTCCTTGGTATTTGGTGCCAGGGCCAGGATATTAACCCAGATGTCCTCGCCAAATTCAAGGTTGGTTAAGTGCAGTCTGCCAACCTACCAAAAAAAAAAAAAAACAACTCCTTCTGTTCCCAATTGGAATCTGATCTGAGCTCATTCTTCCTTGAAATTCTTCTAGAGTACCATCAGTCAGTATGTTTTCCCTTAAAACTGCACTGTAACTCCAATGGTGATTTAAAGCACATGGATTCTTTTGAGTTTCCAACTATATGGGAAACATACACTATGTATATTAAAGATATAGAAGATACTGTAGGAGTTTAAAACTTCCCTAAAGAGCTATCTAAAAAATCAAATCCAGGGTAATACTGACATTACTTCCCAATTAAGATGGAAAAGACTTACGTAAAGGTTTACCCTAAAACACAGTGTGTACCACGAAATGTTTAAAACTAAAGGAGGGCTGTGCTGCCAGGAGCACAATTCTGGGGAAAATCTATGTATGCAAGTATCATTACATGGCCATCCAGGGGTCACCAAAGACCCTGAACAGATGCACACAAATAAGAATATACTCAATACTAAGCCTGAACATCAAGTACCGAGCTGGCCTGCTGGCCACCCACTTGGTTCTATTGCCAAGGCATTCTGTACTCTGCTTAAAGGCACATCAACTGGGCTGTGATTTCTAGCTCTATATTCACTAGCTGTGAACTTTCAGGAAAATTAGCAAAATTCTTGGAACCTCAGTGCCCCCACCTTTAATATTCCTCAAAATCATTAACACAGCATAAAATTATTTAGTACTTTTAAACATTTAAATAAATATGCATTTTGAGGACTATATACAGCCTGTATAAAGCCTTAAATTATCTTCCCCTCCCAAGCTGCCCTTTCAGGACCCCTGTACTTGCTATTCCTTCTTCCTAGAATGCACTTCCCTCTGGGATTGACATTCCCTCACTTCCTTTAGATCAAAAGTCACATTCTCGGATCTCTTGCCACTCTACCTAAAATTTCCAAAACTCAAACCCTTATCCCCCAAATTTCACATTCCCTCTTCCCCAGCTTATTTTTCCTTACCATTTATCACTTTCTAGCAAAACATACTCTTCATTGTCTGGACCTCCTCTAAGTGGAATTCCAACAGAACAGGCATTTCTGTTTTATTCAAGAGACTGTGTGACTAGCACACAGTCTGAGAATCACACCTGCCACACAGTAGGTAGCTCAATAAATATCTTGTGTGAATATCTAATGAGACCTCATTACAGTCCACAGTTACAGCCCAGCTCTATAACCTGCCTTTGGGGGGATATCACACTTCAAAAATACCACAAAGGAGAAGTATAGGCCTGTCAGCTGATACACACCCATGTCGACTATTCACATCAGAGAAAAACACACTGGAGCTCCCACCTCATTTGTACAAGGCAAGGAGGAAAGAAGTTGACAGTACTGAGTGGAAAAGTCTCACTTTAGTTAACAATATATAGACAAAGTTTTCTGATACAATTAACAAATATTAAACCATTTTCCTGTGCCTTTACTATGCTACCTTCTATTTCTCTCTTTCATTTTGACTCCTATAAAACCAATCTTAGGGGGTGTAGCTCAGTGGTAGAAGGTGTTTTTAGTATGCATCCTGGGCTCAATCTCCAGCAACATCAATTAAAAACAAACAAAAACAAAAATCTTGAAATTTATGGACCTCATATTTTCAATTAACTAAATAATAAATATTTATTGAGTACATGGAACTCTACAGAATGCTGCAGAAGATCCCATGAGATGAAAGACAAGGTACAATCTTTTGCCCTTGATATACAGATTCTAGGAAGACCAGAAATCCATCTGTAAATAATAAGGAACAGGGCTGGCTCAAGCCGTAGCACGCTCGCCTGACATGTGCGGGGTGCTGGGTTCGATCCTCAGCACCACATAAAAGTAAAATAAAGATATTGTGTCCATTGAAAAAACTAAAAATTAAATAATAATAAAGAACAGCAGGCATGGCATATAAAGGAACCAATTCATCTTATATTCCATCCATTGGGCTTAAAATCCTAATAGATAGCACTTAAAAAAGTAAGAGCTAGCTTGGGGTGTAGCTTGGTGGTAGAGTGCTTACCTAGCATGCACTCTTGATCCCATGGGGGAGCCAAACATTACTGAGTCATTTCACCCAGGATGTGACAGACTTGATGTTAGACACTGTATAAGAATTTTCTTTTCATATAAATTAAAAAATCAAAGTCTAAATTCATTAAGGACAGAAGCCTGATTGGCTTAAGTTGTGCTCTAGCAAATGACAGGAAAGAACAGGGATGGGCAAAATCCTGATATTCAGGTAGATAACTGTAGGTCCCACCCAGTTTCTGTTTTCACCCCAGAGCTGGGAGTAATGGGAAGGCCACTTAACTGCTTTATCTCAACCTCAAAAATTGGGAACAAGGGCTGGAGTACAGCTCAGTAGTATAGGAAGGACTGGCCCAAGGTTCCATCCCCAGGACCACACACACCCACATCCACATCCACACAGGGCAGAAGCCTTTAACCAAGCAATCACCCATTTCCTTTGCTTTAATAAAGTCTGGCTTTGCTCTGGGCCCTAGATTCACCATATTAACTTAAAACTAAGCACCTGGAGTCAGAAGAACTGAGTTCAAATCCTTATCCCTCAGATGAGTGGCTCTCAAATTACTTGACCTTCCTATGCCCTCTTTGTAAAATGGGGATGACGACAATACCTCATTGCGTTGGACTGATTACATGAGATAAACACACAAGACTTGCTCAGAGGCTGACCACAGAAGCCTTCAATAAATATTCACTGTTATTATTTCCAGAGGGGGGAAAAAATGCCCCAGGGCTGAGGAGCTACATACCTGAGGATTTTTGCAGAAGGTATCATTAAACCTAAAAGCCAAACACAATGCTCTCCTGCCTCGTGGACACTATCACAGCAGCAATAAAACCCCAGAGTGATAACCATAAAAACAGGCTCCACAGCACGGGTACTTACAGAGCTCCGACCGCCAGGCACTGTCCTAACCTAAAAGAGGAAGAAGGCAAGGCTGCTGAATCACACAAGCAAAAACACATCACGGAATCTCTCCACCCTCCTCCTTAAAAGCAGTCACTGGCGCCCAAGTTTTGCTAAAAACAGGTTATCTACACCGATTACAGACTTAATGTGTAATTTCGCCATGCCCCAGAGGTGGGGCTGCGCAGGGCGGAGGGTGGTGCTCGGCTGCTGCCAGGTGGAAAGGCCACAGGAAGACGACCGGATCGGGGCTTCACCCCGGAATCAAAAATTCTGCAGCACCGGGACCTCCAAATTCTGGGGGCCGCCAGCCTCTGCTTCCCAAATCACCCCCGACCAGTGTCGCGGTCCCGCACCGGTGCCCGCGCGGCCGCAGGTCCAGGTGGCCGGCAGCGGGACCCCCAGGACGCGGCCCCCTCTCGCCCCGCGCCTCCCCGGGAAGCTCGGCCGCTCGGGAGCTAGACAAAGCCGGCGGGCGGGCGCCAGGCCCCACGGAAGGCTCAGGTGGCGGCGCCCAGGGCAACAGGTCGGGCCGGGCCGAGGCCTCCCGGGCCCGCCGCCCACCGCCCCGGGCGGAGCAGTGCCGGAGGTCGCGGGGCAGCGGCGCGGGCAGGCCAAACCGGGCGCGTCCCAGGCGGGCGGAGCGAGGCAAGGCCCAGCGCGGCGCCCTCGGGCGGCCACCGCGCGGCCTCCGGGGCGGCCCCAGAGGGCGCCGCGGCGCAGAGGGAACCCGGGAACGCGAAGGGACAGGGCCGCGCGCCGCGCTCACCGCCTCGGACGCCGCTGGTCGCCTCCACCTGCACCTCTGCAGCAGCCGCTGCCGCCGTGGCCGCCGCCTCCCGCCTCCCGGCTCCTTGGTCGGGGCGGGGGAAAGCGTGACGCGCCGCCGCCGCCTGGAGACGCCGCACGGCCCCTCCCCGCCCCGCCGCCCACGTCCCCGCCCCTTTGTCTGCTGCCCCCGCCGGTGCCGCCGGGTCCCCTCCCGGCCCGCGTGCCCCGCCAGGTGCGAGCCGAAGACGAGAGGCCTGCGCCCAGGGCGCCGCCGGCTTTCGGCCGGTCCTCGGCTTTCTACGAGCGTCCCCAGAATTTGCAAGTCACCCCCGTTAGCTCCATTGCGACCTGACAGCAGCCTGCCGTCTGGGCTGATTCATTGGTTCGCCCTCCCCTTCCCGCCGGACCCGGGTGGGAAATCCTTTGAAACGAGTTGTAAGGAGCTAGCTGCCCGCAGCGATTAAGCTTAGGAAGAACCATCCCTGCTCTCCCGGGAAACACCCGGGGTTAAGAATCCTTTGAAACAATCCCGGAGCTGGCTCCGTTAGCTTGAGAAAAGCCTCTTTTATTCGCCCCAGTTGCTTGGACTGAAGCCCAGGTTAAGGTCCCGTCCCCACTCCTCCCTGCAGGGATCTCCTGTAAAAAGCTTTTGAAAGGGACTGGAGCGGACTCTGCAGCAGCCCGCTCAGGGCTGGATAGCAGAGGGCGGCCAGCATTTCACTCCCATGGACCATGGCAACCCAGAAGTTTTGCAGCTCCAGGCAGGACTCAGCAGCTGTCGGGGAAGCCCAGGAGTTTGCAGTGACTGGATGGATAAGGGGCCCGGGCTTCCTCCTCTTTCCCGGTAGAAGAGAATAATCTGGAGGAAGGGTGACCTGCCCTGCTGACCTTTATTCAAAAGCACCGAGCTGCCCAGACCAACAGACATGCACACAGCTGGCGGAGGAAACCACCCTGGAAGTGCAGGAAATTTTGAACGAAATGAATTTATCTGCGGGCCCCTCCCATCCATTCAAGTTCTTTAAAATCACAGGATATTCTTTCACCTTATTCGACATCGCCCTAATTTACAAATTGCAGGATCAGATGGTGGTGGTACTCCTGGAATCCAGTATCCATGTTCCTATTCTGAAAAGCACACCTCACCTCCTTCACCTGGAACTCTTTTCAGCTTTTAATATGCAACCGATGTGGTCATAGATGCCCTAGAATGAATAGAAGACCGCAGTGCTAATATGGGGTGAAACTGTTAACACTGGTTTTCTCTCTTCTACTCATTCTGCTGAGCCTATATTTATTTAAAATATGGCTGTTTTGTTACTCGTGGGTTAACTGGCATTGATTCTGATTTTTTTAAATTGTAATTGTAGATGGACAGAATGTTTTTATTTTATTTGTTTATTTTTTTATGTGGTGCTAAGGATCCAACCCAATGCTTCACACATGCTAGGCAAGTGCTCTGCCACTGAGTTACAACCCCAGGCTTCAAAATATTTTTACTGACATATTTGACCAGACATTTGATGATGAAATAATATCAATTCCACAGGGTCTTTTAGAATACAAATGATGTGAAACTTTGCAATCCATTTTATGGCATTAATATTACCCTATGCCAAACCAGATATATGTGTGAGAAAATAAAATAGGCTAATACTCTTTATGTGATTATACACACGAAACCCTTCAAAAAAAATACTAGCAAACTAAATCAAGTAATACAGCAAAAAATATATTTGGTTCCTTCCAAACGGATATTATCTGAGAATGAAAGGCTGCTTCAACTTTCAAAGAAAAAAAAATCAACCAATGTAAACCATTTAACACCAGGGTAATGACTAAAAACTTCATGACCAACTCAATAATTGAAAAAAAAAAAAAAAA